CAGAAGATTTGAGGGTTGTTATATTAGTGTTGTTGAGCGAGCTGTATGTATCGATTGAAGTGTATGGGCGACTCTGTTGAAAGAAAGAAGAAAGAAAATAAATAATAGGCATTTTAATTTATATTTTTAAATATATAATAATGCATTAAACGAGCAGATGCAGTATTGTGATGATACTGAAAAAAAAAACAGAAAAAACGCAGCAGCTGCTGCTGCAGCAACGGCAGCAGCAACAGCAGCAGCAACACCAGCAGCAGCAGCAGCAGCAGCAGCAGAAGCGATGCTGTTGGAGCAGCGAAAATGATTTAATTTTTAAGGTTTTTAAAGTTAAAAATAATACAACAGAAATAATTTAACTAAAATAATTAAACTTAAAAGAAAGAAATAGTGCACAAAAAAGAATATGAAGACAAGTGAAGGGCGGAGCAATCGATTGAACCGAAGTAAATAAACAAATAAATAAATAAATAATAAATAAATTAATTAATTAATTAATTAATTAATTAATTATAAATAAATAAATAAACAGGTAAATAAATAAAATGCTTGTTCTTTTATTTTTATTTTTATTATATTTTCATTTGTATGAATATTCGCTGGGGTTTTCTTTAGCTGTTTTTGTCTGTCATAATATTTAATAATATTTTTTATATTATTATTATTATAAATATTATTGTTATTATACTTATCAGTGCTATTATCATTATTTGTCGTAGATAAACAAAATAAACAAAACAAATAAAACAAACAAACGTAACAAAATAAAAAAAAAATTAATAATAATAAACATATAATAAAATCAGCAAAGGCGACAAAAAAGCAAAAGAAAGAAAAAAGAAAATGACGAAAAAACTGCGGAGACAGCTCAACCCTAGAACAGAGACAATACACCCAAATAACAATTCGTCTATTTCATATAAATTAATATATAAAATATATTTTATATGTAATATTATAAACCTATATACTCCATTGTAGAGCAACAGCAGCAGCTGTTGCTGCTGCAGCAGCAGCAGTAGCAGTAGCAGTAGCAGTAGCAACAGCAGCAGTAGCAGCAGCAGCAGCAGCAGCAGCAGCAGCAGCAGCAACTGCTGCTGCTGCTGCTGCTGCTGCTGCTGTTGCAGGCACCCTTCTAGAAGTATAGATAAAGTATTAAAAGTAGTAACAGCGTAAAGCACTTCATAAAAAATAAAAAATTATAGATGTATATACACCTAAATAAAGCCTCCTCTGTGGCTGTTTTAATTACACATCTTTCTTGTTTGTTTCTGCTATGGAAGAGGATACGCCCTAAACCCTAAACCCTAAACCCTAAACCCTAAACCCTAAACCCTAAATACTGAGGCCCGCAAACAATGCAGATCTGTTTCTGTCTCGCTGAGCAGAGACAGAAAGGTTGTTGTTTCTCTATGAACAATCTTCTTAATGCTTATTCACTTACACTCATAAGTAAATAAGTAAATAAATAACAAAGAATAAATAAATAAATAAATAAATAAATAAATAAATAAATAAATAAATAACCCCTGTTTGAGGTCAATAACAAAACCGAAGAGATGCTGCAGAGGGCCCAGCTAAAGCTGCAGCATTTCTTCTTCTGAATTAGGGTTTAGGGTTTAGGGTTTAGGGTTTAGGGTTAGGGGCTTCAGGTTGCGGCTACAAACCCTAAGCAATAATCTTCCGGTGGAGGTTTAGGGTTTAGGGTTTGTGCCTCTTATTTCTTATTTCTTCTTTAGGGTTTAGGGTTTAGGGTTTAGGGTTTATATTACAGGTTGATTGCCTCTATACTACCTCCCATATAATATCTAACATCTTATTTAGGGTTTAGGGTTTAGGGTTTATATTACGAATATATTATATCATATATCATATATCATATATATACAATATAAAGTAAATAATATACCGTAACATAATGAAGGTTAATTTATTAGGGTTTAGGGTTTAGGGTTTAGGGTTTGTGGTTTGTAAGATAATTAGGTATTAAGGGTAATCGAATCCGAGTGTATCGAAGGGTAATTTAGGCGAATTAGGGTTTCTTTTTGTTAGTATTTCAACGCCGGTGTCTGTACAGCAGAGTGTATGCTCAAACTGAGCAGAAAGACTACCGTCGGCAGTTACCGCTGTCCAGCCGTCCGGCCAGAGTGTATCTGCAGCTCTTCCTAGACAAAGCATCGGCTCGATTGTAAAGACATGCCCTGGCTTCATAACACCTACCTGCAGATATTTAAACATATATATACATATAAATAAATATATATATATATATATATATATATGCTTTAAATCAATTAGTTAACTGCATATCTTACATATATTATATGCTGCAGATGGTGCAGAAACAACAGCAGATTATTATGACAGATGCAGCAGCAGCTGCTGCTGCTGCAGCTGCTGCAGCAGCAGCAGGTGCACATTGAAAGAGATGCAGCAACAGTAAATACACATGCAACAACAGCAGCAAATAGAGAAGCAACATGTGAAGATCAGAATGCAGGAAATAAAACAACAGCAGCAGCAACAGCAGCAGCAGCAACAGCAGCAGCAACAGAATAAACAGCCCCCTCTCTATTGTAAATTTATGCAGATAAAAGTGAAGACAGAGCAGCAGCAAACAAAGCAGATAACCAACTATAACTTTTAATTTAATCTACAAGACAAACACGCGAAGAATAGACAGAAATGTACAGCTGCTGCTGCTGCAAATGCTGCTGCAGCTGCTGCAGCTGCAGCTGCTTCTGCTGCTGCTTTGCTGCTGCTGCTTTGCTGCTGCTTACTGCTTTATTGTTGCGGTAGTGAGGAATGCTGGGAGAAGTATGAAAAAGTTCGCCGATGCCATGGCCGCAGTATGAACGAACAACAGATAAGCTGCACATACACCCCACGCACCTCAACATACACCCTAGATAGCTCAGCATACACCCTAAATAACTCAGCATACAGCTTAAATAGCTCAGCATACACCCTCAATAGCTCAGCATACACCCTAAATAGCTCAACATACGCCTTAAATAGATCAGCATACACCTTAAATAACTCAACATACACCTTAAATAACTCGGCATTCACCTTAAATAGCTCAGCATACACCCCAAATAGCTGCGCATACACACTGTTCGGCTAATAGGTTTCTTTAGAGAGGAGCTTGTTTATAAGAGAAGGGTTTATAAGTGCTGGCGTCTGAATGTAGAGTTAATAAATGCGATAATAATTAGTAATACCCTTCGTTGAAAAGCAGACAAAATGCATGCAGACACTCACCCATACTTATCTGCAAACGAAGAAACGACGCGGCCGATCTCTCGATACATCATTCCTGGCTTACACTGCAGCAGCAACAGCAACAGCAGCAGCAGCAGCAGCAGCAGCAGCAGCAGCAATAGCAGCAATAGCAGCAATAGCAGCAACAAAAGGTAAGGCAGCAGATACACCAGCAGCAGCAGCAGCAGCTTATTGTATTCCACACCTAACAACACCTCATTAGCAGCTGCAGTAAATGAAGCAGATAATGCAGCAGAACCAACAGCAGCAACAGATAAAGCAGCAGCAGCAGCAAAATAAGCAGTAGCAGCCCTAAGAGACGCAGCAACAGCAACAGCAACACCAACACCAACACCAACAACAGCAGCAACAGCAGCAACAGCAGCAACAGCAGCAGCATCAGCAACATATCAAGCAGCAGCAAGAGACAAAGCAGCAGCAACAGATCAAGCAGCAGCAACAGCAGCAGCAGCAGCAGAGTGTATGTACAGCTTTGATAGCTTCCATAAGACAAACGTAAGAGCCCTGTAGAAGCCGATGCTGATCTGCGTTGGGTGTACCGCAGCAAAATGTCTCATTAAGGTCTGCATGCATGCCTTTATAATAAACAGTAATATCTACATTTACGATGTCTCCTTCTTCGAGAGGCCTGAGGTTTAATAACGCATACACTCAAACATCTCTTGCTGCACATACCTCACTACCACCAGCAGCAGCAGCTGCTGCTGCTGCAGCAGCTGCAGCAGATAATGTGCGACAGCAGATAAAGCAGCAGCAGCAGCAACAACACATAATTCAGCAGCAGCTCTCTGTCTGTCTTCTACATGCATTATCGGCAACTCTTTAAAAAACTGCTCCTAAGTTTACATTTAAATCAGGGTTTAGTGTTTAGGGTTTAGGGTTTGGGGTTTACGGTTTAGTGTTAGGGTTTAGTGTTTACTGTCTAGGGTTTACGGTTTAGGGTTTAGAGTTAACGACTTACGGTTTACTGTAAGGGTGTAGGGTTTAGTGCAAGGATTTAGGATTTAGTACTTAGTGCTTAGGGTTTAGGGTTTAGGATTTAGTACTTAGTGCTTAGGGTTTAGGGTTTAGGGTTTAGGGTTTAGGGTTTAGGGTTTAGGGTTTAGGGTTTGTGGTTTGTTACCTGAGGTCGGGTATGCCGTGGCAGATGGTTTCGTTGACGCTGATGCAGCAGGACTTAGGAAAGTGTTGATAATTTAGAGGCGAAGGATAGGCGGAGCTTTGAACAATAAATGAGTGCACAGCTTTGTCGATTTGATCAGCTGTAACTCCGACCCGAATCATTTTGTTTGCTAAGTCCAGAGCTGCACGACCTAAAGCACTTGCTCCCCGCAGACGCTTATACAAACAAAGAAAACAAATGCACAAATATAAATATATAAATTTATTTATTTATTTATTTATTTATTTATTTATTTATTTGTGTATTTGTAGATGTGTGGATATGTATATATACTGTTATACTTATAAATATGTGTTTATATGCTTATGTATACTCAATATATATATAATTATATATATAATTATATATATTGAATATAATTATATATAAATATATAACATAAAATTACATATAATATACAACATATAATTATACATATAATACATAATATAAAATAATATATATAATATATAAAATATGTATAATATAGATATAATATATGAAAACCACATTATATAATATAGATAATAAATATTATATAACATATAAAATAGATAATATATATAAAACATATAAAACATGAGATATTTATATATATAATAATAATATTATTAATATTATATATACCTCTATCTCTTCTTGAGTGTGAACTTTAATAGCATTATGACGCAAACTTTGCTCAGATATCGGCACACCGCTTTCGGCGTAATCGGGAGCAGGTATTGTCGGAGGGACAGACACTTGTGGGGTGATCGGCCAAGGGCGTAAAGAGCCCGAAAATCTATACCCTACGAAGCGGCTGTGCATGCGCATGCATTCGGGTGTATACGCACCTCATCCACTCATATTTCAATCCTTTATTTTACTATTTTTGTTTTTTTTATTTTTATTTTTATTTTTGTTTTGTTTTGTTTTGTTTATTTAAATTCAGTTTAATTTAATTTATTTTATTTTATTTTTCTTTGTTTTATTTTACTTTCTTTAGTATAATTCGATTTAATATTAATATTAATGTTAATTTAATATTAATTTAATCTAAGACTAATTTAATATTAATTTAATATTAATTTAATATTAATTTAATATAATTATTTAATATGAAATTAATTTAAATTAATTATTATATTTACCTCAAGTGCGGGTCGTTGATCCAAGCGTCGGTGTTATGCGGATTATAATTAGAGGCATCGATAGGGTGTACAGACAGCTGTTTTTTTTGTTTTTGTTTGTTAATAGATTGGATGACATCATGAATAACTTTATGTTTCTTCCACGACTGACGAAAGCACTCTTGAGAACAGAAGGTGTTCGGGTGTATGTTCAGCTCTACACAACGGGGGCAACTAAGAAAACGATTGTTTGAATTTGCTTCCGATACACCACACCCCTGGCATTCTGCTGCTGCTGCTGCTGCTGCTGCTGCTGCTCCTGTTCCTCCTGCTGCTCCTGCTGCTGCTGTTTCTGCTGGTGCCGCTGATGTTCCTGCTGAGCCTGTAGCAGCAGCAGCAGCAGATGTTGCTGCTGCGTCTGTTGCTGCTTCTTCTGCATTGGTGTTTGCCGACATGTTAGAGAGAAGAAGAGGTACAGAGAGAGAGAGAGAGATAAGAAAAGAGAGAAAGGAGAAACAGAGTAATAACAGATCCCGTTGTTTACTGCGAAGCACAAACCCTAAACCCTAAACCCTAAACCCTAAACCCTAAACCACCGGTTCAGGGGGGAGAACAAACACTATATTAAAGAGAAAACGGCAAATAGAGGCTGATAAATACTTTAAAAGACTAATAAATAAACATATAATGCTTAGAATAAAGAAGAAACAAAAGCAAAGAAATAAAAGAGATATAATATATGAAGTAATTGTTTTGGGGCTGTCTTCAGGAGGCCCCTATGGAAATCTACCGTTGAAATATTAATAAAATAATTAAATAATTATATTTAATTTCATCTTTTTATATTTAAATGCGTTTTTTATTTGTTTTAACTTAAACTCCTCTACTTATGAAATGAGCTGCGCATACACCTGAGCTGTGCCCCACATATTGAATTTGTTTGTTTGTGTATTTTGACGATACTATAATAATTAATTTGTTTTATTTCTTTTTTATTTTGTTAATTATTATTTATTTATTTATTTTACTTTTAATTTAAAAAAGAAATACAAGATTTACTGCACATCTCTTTTTTTCTTTTGCTGCTCTCTCTCTCTCTCCTTTTACCTTCTATTATTCTTTGTTAATCTCTGCTCTTCTTCTTTACTTCTGTTGCTTCATTTAAGGCCTCCTCCAACATAAACCCTAAACCCTAAACCCTAAACCCTAAACCCTAAACCCTAAGCAAGAACAGTTTTATAAACCCTGAAAAAGAAAATAAGCGAAGCAAAATGACGATGGCTACGACACAAAAACATCGCAGCTCAAACTTTCAGAGTGAAAATATAAATTTATCAAAACAGATGAAAAGAAAAGAAGAAAACAGCAGAAGCAGCAGCAGCAGCAGCAAACAGCAGCACCTCAACACCGATGATGATGAGCAATATGCAGAAGAAACAGAGCAGCAGCAGCAGCAGCAAGAGAAGAAAAAGAAGAAGAAGTACAAGCAGCAGGAGCAGCAGGAGCAGCAGGAACAGGAGGAGGACGAGCAGCAGCAGCAGCAGCTGGAGAAGAAGAAAAAGAAGCAGCAGCAGCAGCAGCAGCAGCAGCAGCAGCAGCAAGATGATCCCGCTGCTTGTGGAGCCTTTGATTTGTTTCCGATTTCCTCTTTAACAAAAAATTTGCTGCAGCAAAATAATATTAGGCGTCTTCTACCTTCGCAGTTTCTTACGTTCAAACAAGTCTATGAAGGTATGCGTCTATACACTCCAACTGCAGCAGCAAATGCAGCAGCAAATGCAGCAGCAGCTGCTGCTCTTACTGGTGATACGGGTGCTGCTGCACCAGCTACTGCTGCAGCTGCTGCTCTTACTGGTACTGCTGCAGCAGCTGCAACTGCTGATGCAACAGATAAAGCAGCAGCTGCGGCAGCAGCAGCAGCAGCAGCAGCAGCAGCAGAAAGGCATATGAAGCAGCTCGTTGCAGCTGCTGCTGATTGAGTGTTAGTGGTAGCACATATATTTCTTTGTGTTTTAAAATACGTTTTCTTGCCCTGTCTATATTTGTTTTATATTTGTTTGTTTGTTTTATATTTCTTTATGTTGTTTATTTTATTTTGTTTATTTTTATTTTGTTATTTTTAATAATATTTTTTCTTTAATATTTTTCTGCATTTCTTTGCGGTGTATGTTCACCTTTTTCACATTGATGAATATTTATATTTCAAATTAGCTAATAAATACAGGAAATATATTTAAATAAAATAATTAAATATAATAATAATTTAATTAATTAATTAATTAAATTAATTTTAATTAATTTAATTATTTTATTTGTTTTCTCGTAGGAAGAGATATTGTATGCAGAGCGAAGACGGGGACGGGTAAGACTTTAGCATTTTGTTTGCCTTTAATAGAAAAATATTTTTGTAATAAATATTTTAATGAAGATAATTTAAATAAAAGAAAAGAAGAAGAAAAAAACAAACAAAACATCGCAACTAGACCTCAATATACACCTCGCGGAAAGCTGAAAGGCACGCCTGAGTTAAAAGTAAGCTGCAGCAATCTTTAATATTAAAAATAAATATAAAATATTTAAATAAATATAATTATTAATTCATTTTAAACAATTATTTCTTTTATTCACGAGAAATTTTACTTCATGCTGCAACACCTCCGTATACACCCTAATTTGCTGCTGTTATTTTTTTATTTGATTTTATTTTTTGTGTTTTCATCTTTTCGCGAGTCTTCTCTTTTTATTGTGTTGCCTTTCTACTGTCTTATTTGTTTATTTATTTTTATATAATGTATATATATATGTATATTTATTTATTTATTTTTTATTGTTCTGCTCTTGTTTTCTCTTTGTCTTTTCTGTTTCTTGTTTGTTGTTGTTTGCAATTCATGTTGAGTTAATTAATGAGTTTATTAGTTCATTTATTTAAATCAAAATAAATAAATAAATAAATAAATAAATAAATAAATAAATAAATAGGCAGAGAGATGAATACGTAGACTACTACAAAATACATATTCCAGAGCAATGAAATGCATGCAAAGATAAATAATTATCTGTTTTAAATTTTGTTTGTTTGTTTGTTTGTTTGTTTGTTTGTTTGTTTGTTTGTTTTGTTTAGCTATTGGTTGTGCTTCCTACAAGAGAATTAGCACAGCAAGTTTATAATGAATTTGAGCGATATGCAGGCTGCCGATACACCGCAGTATGTATATATGGTGGGTCTCCTGAGATTACGCAGTTAAAACAATTAGAAAAAGAAGTTCATATTCTAGTAGGTACACCAGGAAGAATAATTGATTTTGTTAATAGAGGTGCAGTGACACTCCGAGGTGTACAGGCAGTTGTCTTTGATGAAGCAGATAAACTCTTAGAAATGGGTTTTAGAGAAGACATGCAGAATCTTCTCACTACTATACATGAACAAAAAAACAAAGCAGCAGATGCAGCAGCAGCAGACACAGCAGCAGCAGGTGCTGCAGCTGCTGCTGCTGCTGCTGCTGCTGCTGCTGAGGGCAGCAGCAGCAAAGAGAAAAAGAAGTTTCAGCTGCTGCTGTTTACGGCGACCTTCCCTAAGTGGGCTCGAGCAATAGCAGAAGAATTCATGAATAAGGATAGAGCATTTATAGACGTGACAGCATATCAGCAGCAGCAGGCAGAGCGGGAAGCAGCAGCAGCAGCAGCTGGAGGAGGAGAAGCAGCAGAAGCAGCAGCAGCAGCTGCAAGTACACCCGGAGGCACAGGCAGTGGGGCTGGCCTAATTCAGCATTTAGCAGTGCAGTGTCACTGGAGAGACAGAGTAAATGCATTACCGCTGCTTTTATCTCTCTACTGTTGCCCTGAAGCAGCAGCAGCAGCAGCAGCAGCACCAACAGCAGCAGCACCAACAGCAGCAGCAGCAGCAGCAGCAGCAGCAGAGGAAAAGGCTCTATGCGTAATATTTTGTGAAACAAAACAAGAAGTAAATGAGGTCGCCCTTGATTCACCCATCAGCAGCATTTGCTGCTGCATGCACGGAGACTTACCGCAGCAGCAGAGAGACACAATACTTTCATCGTTTAAGAGAGGGGCATTCTTAGCATTAGCAGCAACAGATGTTGCAGCAAGAGGGCTTGATATAAAGGATATTAGATTAGTTATTCAGCTGTCGCCTCCTAGAGATACAGAAACATATATACATCGCTCAGGACGCACAGGAAGAGCAGGAAGAAGAGGGCTGTCTGTGTTATTTTATAATAAGAATGATGCTGATTTTCTTGTTAATATTGAGCAAACAGGACATTTCAAGTTCACAAGAATTGCCTTTCCTTCGGTTAGAGATCTGCAGAAGCAAAGGCTGCAGCAGCTAACCAAGCAGCTGTTCCCTGCTGCAGACTTTGCTGCTGCTGCTGCTGCTGCTGCTGCTAAAACAGAGGCTGCTGCTGCAGCAGGAAAAACAGAAGATCAAATCTTGCTGCAGCAGGTTACAAAGAAAGTGCTGCAAGTTGAAAAAGCAGAAGATGCTGTCTTGAAGCTCCTCAGCTGTTTAACAAGAGATAAGCAATCAGCAGCAGCAGGAGCAGCAGCGGCAGCAGCAGCAGCAGGTTCAGGTGTATCTCCAGCTCCTGTGTCTTCTCTATCGGGGCGTAGTGGTTTTATTTCTTACTCTATTTTATTTTCGCCTCCTCCTTCACCCCCTCTGAAGGGATCATGCTCATATGTTTGGCGAGCACTTAAAAACAGATTCGGGCAGCAAACTGCTGCTGCTGCTGCTGCTGGTCGTAGGGGCGCAGCAGCAGCAGCAGGAGCAGCAGCAGCAGGAGATGGCGATGTGCTGGAGAGGATTGAACAGATGGTTTTAACAGAGAAAGGAGATGGTGCTGTCTTTGATGTGCCTGTCGAAGTGCATGCAGCGTTTGAAAAGCAGATTATCCTTCCGCTGAAAGCAGCAGCAGCAGCAGCAGCAGCAGCAGCAGCAGCAAATGGAGAGAGAAGAAAAGGGTTTACAATTCAGCCTGTCACTCAGCTGCCACCGCTGCAGGATGCGCTCTATCTAGCCAGACAGCAGCAGCAGCAGCAGCAGCAGCAGCAGCAGCAGCAAAGAAAGAGAGAAGGGGTTTCTTCTGCTGCATCGCGGCTGAACCCTAATCATGTATCAAACCGAAGAGGAGACAGAAAAGAGATAAATAGAAGAGGCAGAGGAGGTGCTGCTGCTGCTGCAGCAGGTGCAGCAGGTGCAGCAGGAAGAAGCCCTTCGCTGCGATTAAATAATAATAATAATGCGTGGAGCAGCAAACGAGACAGAGAAGAAGAGAGAAGAAGAGACAGCAGAGGAGACAGAGGGATGCGAGGAGGCAAACAGCAGTTTAAACGCCAGCGCATTGCATAGAGATGACAGACAGTTAAAAGATTAAAAGAGACAGATAAATAAATAAATTAAAAGAAACAAATAAATATTAATAACAAGATTAAAAGATATTGAAGGAAAGGAGACACACAGAGAGACAGACAAAGAGAGATAGCTTTAAAAAGTAATTTAGAAATATATAAAAAGATAAATACAAAGATATAGAGGCAAGCAGACAAAGATATAGAAGGAGACAGATAAATAAGAGCTGAAAGGAGACAGATAAAGATGTGAATTCAGACAGATGAAGAAAAACATTATGATTGCCGACTAATAAATATTTACACTTAACATCTTCTTTTGCTGTATCCTGTCTCTTCTTAACCCTTCTGAGGAGACAGGTTTTTTTATTATTATATTATCTTTCGGCGTAAACTTCTTTTTACTGTCTTTATGTACATATATATATATATTATAATATATAATATATATATATATCATCTCCTCTCATTTGCTTCGTGCTGAACACAGACATTTGAAGTCTTTTATATTTACTCTGCTGCTGCTGCTGCTTTTATTGCTGCTGCTGCTTCTGCTGCTGCTGCTGTAAGCGGCCCTACACGGCGAGACAGAGGTGAAGCCAGAGCATAAGCCTTCCACTGCTGCTGCTGTTGCTCTGTTGCTGCTCCGGCTGCTACTGCTGCTGTTGCTGCTGCTGCTGCTATTTCTGGTCTGTCTGATGAGCTCAATTAGACTAACTACGAGAATTTACTTTTGCTCCTTTTCTGTGCATTATCGAAAAGAGAAATGCCTCAGTGCTGTACAAACGCAAAGACACGATAAAAAGAAAAAAAAAGTTTCAACAAAGATTTGCTGCCTTGCCCTGCACACATGCATGCATGCATGCATGCATGCATGTGTGCAGCCCCACTTAAACGCATGCATATATTTTCAAGGAGGGCTTGGGGCTTCCCAGAGCCACCTCAAATTTCTTTGTTTTTCTCCTTTACCTTCTATAATAACAACCTGGTTGGGTAAGAAGATGAATTGTTTGAGAGTGAAATAGACATAATGAATTGTTTAAGAATGAAAAAGGAGTAATGAATTATTTAAGTGTAAGATAGAAATGCCTAAGAAATATTTTGCTGAGTATTACTTATTATATAACCAACGGTGCACACAGACACAAACAAAGTCTGCTCTATAATATATAATAATCTACGAAATATATCTAAGATAAAATTATTATTATTAAAGGTTTTAATCGTAAAAGCAATTCAAAAAATACTTTTTTGAATTATTTTTTTAAAAATATTTTTCTCCTTCCGTTGTACTGACCAGGCTAGAGGAGTGTGCGTGGGGGGTCTGTGGGCAAACGTATGCATATTTGAGGCCTGGAAAGCGGCGAAAAAGCGTAAATAATAAATTAAAATGAAAATAAACAAGATAAAATAATATATTGCAAAAAACATAGTTAATTAAAGCAAGAATAGAGAGAGAAGAACAGAGCCGCACCGGTGGTCGGCTGCAACCGCTGAGGTGTCTGCACAGCTGACGGCAGCACTGGCTGCGGCAGCCCCGCATACTTTTATTGAAGAGAAGTTGTAAAATTTATGTTTTTTGTCTTTTAATTTTAAATATAATTGCAAAACTAAGGATAAAAAGAAGAAATTCAAAGCTGAGACGCCTATTTTTATCAGAGTTTCCCCCTGCCTTCTACTCAAACCAGACCGTGGGTAGCAGACAGCGGTTAAGTTTTTTCTTCTTTTATTTCCTTTTTTTCTTCTAATTTGCAGATTTATTGTATTGTTATTGAGTTGTTTTGCTTGTTTTCAACATGAAGATACAAGTAGAAGCCACGGACCTCCGAGATGATAAGCAATACACCGCAATCGTCGAGGCCTGGGAAACCTTAGACACCGTTCGGGCTATTGTAAGCATGTGAAGGGAATTGATTTATTTTATTTTATTATTAATTAATTAATTATTTAGTTATTTAATTCTCTGCCTTAGTTCAAATAAATAACACCGTATTCGAATGCTTCTTATCGACGTTTACACGTGTCCATTGTGAGGGATAGGGTTTAGGGTTTAGGGTTTAGGGTTTAGGGTTTATTGGAATATTTGTTATTTATTTGAGGTTATATTTTAAACGTTGAGGTTTATAAGTTTTTTGAGTATTTGTTTAAGGCCTTCGTTTCTCGTTTGCTTCGGGCAGTATATTCTTCTTTTATTTTTCTTGTATACTTGTTTATTATTCTTTATCTTCATTTAATTATTTTCTTTGTCTTCTTCTCTTCCTATTCCTGTTTTACTTATCCTTATCTTTATTATTATTTGATTTAAACCATAACCTTAACACATATTTTTTTTGTTCTTTCTTCTTCTTATGCCTTATTATTATTTTTTATTATTATAATTATAGTATTATTATTATTATATTATTATTATTTTTTCTTCAGCTAGCTGAGAAGATTCCTAATGCCCCGCCTAAACATCAATTTTTTTATGTTCGCGAGGAGTTTGTAAATTCGTCGATACCCGCAGACCAACTGCGAAAAAAATCAAGAGCAGCAGGCATGTTAGACGATGTAGGTAAGAAAATAATATTTATTTATTTATTTATTTGTTTGTTTATTTGTTTATTTGTTTGTTTGTTTGTTTGTTTATTTGTTTATTTGTTTGTTCATTTATCTGTTTGTTTGTGGGTAAGAAAAGAATATTTTATTTATTTATCTATTTATCTGTTTGTTTGTTTATTTGCTTGTTCATTTATCTGTTTGTTTATTTGTTTGTTTATTTATTTATTTATTTATTTATTTATTTACTTACTCATTTACCTGTTTATTTGTTTATTTATTTGTTCGTTTGTTTGTTTGTTTATTTGTTTATTTGTTTATTTATTTGCTTTATTTTATCTATTTATTTGGTTGGTTATTTGTTTATTTATTTATTTTTACACTGGCTTTAGGGTTTAAGGATTAGGGTTTAGGGTTTAGGGTTTAGGGTTTATGATGCAGAAGAAAAAGAAGGAGAGCCTAAGCTCGCTCGCTGTTTTGTTTATGTTAATCCAACGCCTTTAGATTTCAGCGATATGTTGAATGATGGTGAGGCAATATAATTAAATTAATTTTATTAATTTTATCTTTCTTCTATCTTTCTTTATTTCTTTTTGAATAGACTTAGTTCTTTTGACCCCTCCTTTCATCTTTATTTTTTTTCTTCTCTAGAATAATTAAATTTAATTCATTTTATTTGTCTATTTGCTTCTGTTTTTATTTTTTAAGTTGTTTTATCTCTCTTTTCATGCTTTTTATTATCTTTATTTCTCTTTCGGATGAATGAGTTTAATTTAATTTATCCTTTTGGTTCTCTGAGTTTAATTTATTTTATTTGTTTCTGTCTTTCTTTTTATTTATATTTAGAAGTAATGAGTTTAACTCGTTTGATTTTTATTCTTTTAATTTAATTCTTCTTTCGATTTTTATTTGTTTGTGCATATCATAGAAGTCGCAAATTTTCAGAGCAAATGCAGCGACAGCAACGTCAGCATTTTTTGATGTTTATTTCGGATGTTTGTTTATATTATTTGTATAAAGATAATATAATTGAAGAAAGATTAATAATTATTTACTCTAAAAGACAATAAAGGAGATTACCCTGTTTGTGTCTGCATGTTTGTTGTTTGTTTGCTGCTTTACTTTGTGCTGCACATCAACTTAAATGAAGATTTAATCAAAAAACTCAGAGGCAAAGCCGAAGGAGAAATTAAACAAATTGTCTTCCGCATTAAACTCGAAGGTGCAGAAAACAGACTCTGCATTGCTGTTGACTCCTCTTCTATTACAGTAAGCATAAATAATAATAATATATAATATATATTATATATAATATATATAATATATATATTTTAGTATATATGTAATATCATATATATTAATATATGCATATATTATGTATATGTATATATTTATCTATTTGTTCATATATTTATATATACCCAAGATGAAGCTTGAGTAATTGAGAGAGGAAGGAAGGTAAAGGTTTAGTGTGAATTGTATACATGTATGTACAGCTGATTTCGTTTGAAGTGCATGCATGTACACCTCAGGTAGATCAAT